TAATTATACTTAAACTTCAAACTGTGGAAGAGACCTTCCTCCCTTAAGCCCTCAAGTCCTTAAGCCTTAAGCCTTTAACTAAGCTCTTAACACTGCCAATGATTGAAATTGCAAAGCTCTAAATTTCCTAGCTTGTCTCGGACTAAGCCTAAGCTTCACCATCGTCAGGGTGTCTGGAGTTAAAGTAGTTTAAACTTCCAGGAGTACTTGGTATGACATGGTGGCTGCATAGGAAGACAATGTAATGCTAATATATGATCACATGTGCAACATAAGTATATGGGTTGCCGAGGTCGGTGCTTTGCGAGGGTTTGGAGAACGACGGCAAAGCCTCCAACGCTGACGGAGTCATGACGCTGATGAATTTGGATGAGCTTTGGCCCGCAGTGCAGAACACATCCATGATCGATCACGGTTTCTGGAAGGCTTGTCCAGGAAAGTGTGCGTTCTTGCAGCGCTACCAGAAGTTCGCGAAGGCATTGTGTGAGATGGGCGAGTACCTCTTTCGCCAGCTCCCTTCTTTCCAGCACCTGCCACGGGTGCACCCGTCAGCTGCCTCCATGCGGCTGTGGGCGAACCAGTTGCCCAAACAGCTGGAGGAGTGGGTCGAGAGCACAGAGTTGCGCGGAAGGATGCAGAAGACTTGTTTCCAGCGATGTGCCGACCAGCTCAAGACCCTTTTCTCCGCAGGGTTGGCCGCAGTTGGCCAAGTGGTGGCCGAGGTCAAGAAGGGAGAGACGCCTCTCACGCAAAACAGCGTGGACGAGCTCATGAGCAAGGTCCCATCTGATCATCCCCTCAGTATGCTTTGCTCCGCGTTCTTCAAGGCATGCTTGCTTCCTAGAGTCCTAGAGTCTTATATCGAGGGCTTTGTCCGGGTATACTTGAGACTACTGGAATAAAGGCCCAGGCAACATATCATTTTGGCTTACACACGTACGTGAGTCGTGTTGGTTGCTATGAACAGCCTTTTACTTTAACTTCAAGCCTTAAGGCCTTAAGGCCCATAAGTTTTAAGGCTTGAGGCCTTAAGGCAAGGAGGCCTTAAGTCAAGCCTTAAGGCTTTTAGGCTTTTAGGCTTTAGAACTTTAACTTTAAGGCTTTAGGGTTTACGTTTAGGGAGTTTGGGGAAAGTTTAGGGCTTAGGGGTTAAGTTTAGGGCCCAGGCGTTTAGGGTTGAGGGGTTTAGGGCTTAGGGTTAAGTCAAGTCGGTTTGAGTTTAGGCCGTTTACGGGTTAGGGTTCAGTATTTCAACATGACTTAGACTTAAGCTTAAACTTTAACCTAGAGATATGCTCAACAACGCTCGGCAGTATGTTCCGGTCTTGACATATCACATCAGCTCGCTGTGTTTTCCAAGTTCATGAGTAGATCTTACCAATATAGCTAGAATTTGGTTTGAATGTTGAGGTCAACGTAGGCCCGCCCTAAATTCTCTGGTCAGTTCGAAAATGAAAGGTCGTTTTGTCTACCGCCAAGAAGGAGGATACTGATTTCAAGATGTGCGCGAAGGCTTTGCTCGACATGGCTTCGAAGTTGAAGGAGGCAACGGCCAAGAGCGCAGGTGACAGCACACTTGCCACCGACTTGGAGATCTCCCAGCTCACCACGGTGGACCAGTGGTTGCTTGCCGCAGTTGAAGATCTTCTGAAGCGACAGAAGGATACCTTGGTCGAGGGCTTTGCCCGGGTGTCAAATGTCGCAGTCGAGATCGAGGCATCGCTTGCCAAGCTGCCGGGCTTCACTGACGAGGTGGGCTTTCGGGAGGCTGGTGTGAAGCTGGTGCAGAAGCTCGCATCCGCCGCAGCAAAGTTGGAGAACAACTTGAGCAGCCTCAGGGACAGCATGGAGAGTGTGGACATTCTGTCTTCAGTGCGTTTCTCCGACAAAGGCCCAGATGAGGCCTTGTGCAAGAGCTGCGACGTCAAGTCCAAGACGGACGAGTTGGAGGCAGCCGACAAGAAAGCCACAATGGCGGGTTGCGTAGTGGCCTTGGTTGCCAGTGTGTGCCTGCTGCGAGGCCCGGAGCTTGCCGAGTCGAGCCCAGATGTTTCAGTCTTTGCTCAGCTCCGGGATGTCCAGAAAACGTTGCAGGTCAAGGTCAGCAAGCTCTCGGACGACAAGAAGCAAGGAAATCCAGATGGTTCTGATATGGTGGCCTTTGCTGAGAAGATCCTTGAGGAGTGCGGCACCGTCTTGGCGCAACAGGGAGACCCAAAGAAAAGGAAGGCCCCAGTGCCGGGTGAGGACCCGGCCCTCGCAGGTGACAAGGAGCCAAGCAAGAAGACCGCCCAGACCCAGAACAAGGAGAAGGAGAAGTGCGCGGCAAAAGCCAAGGCGAAGCAGAAAGCCCAGAAGGTCGCGGAGGAGAAGCAGGACGACCCCAAGCCGAAGCAGGACAACAAGAAGGGCAAGGACAAGGAGAAGGCGGACAAGGCCCCGGAGAAGCAGCCAGCGAAGATCAAAAGGCCCGCCCCCGTGGCTGAGGAGGAGCCGAAAAAGCGGCAGACGAGCCTCCTGGATGGCATGAGCAAGAAAGGCCGAAAGTAGGGCTGCTGCAGGGTGCGTATTGCCTCCATGTATATTCCATCCGTTTTGATGCTCACTCTTCTTGAGTGTCTTGTTTTGCTGCCATGCAGCAAACGCAGGCCTTTGGCCTTTGGCCGTGTTATTGGATCAGCGTTGTTAGTATTGGGTATTTGTATTTGTGTCTTGAGTGTATTATAGTTACATAATTTTACAACATGTGCTCGGGTATAGTAGTTTCTAGTGCAGCAACGCTGTGTGCGTTTCATGTCTCGGCCTTGGGCCTTGCAGAACATTGGGTTCACAATCACCGGACGTCTGGACTGAGTCAAGCTGAGGTGCCGCAACAAGTTCAAAGTTGAAGCTGCTCAGGCTTAGGTTCTTAGGCTCTTAGGCTTAAGCTTAAGCGGTTAAGCGGCTTCGGCAAAGCACAGGTGCTCGAAATGCCATGTTGCCCAGTGGTGCTTGCTTCACGTCATTGCGTGTCGATCTCTGTGCTTATGTTGCTTGAATTGCGCCTGTCAGGACCAAGTGCTGCCACGTGATACGATTTGGTAGGATTTGAGTGGGAAGCAGTTTTCAGTTAGCAGCCTCTGAGATAGGTTTATGACTCATGCCAATACCTAGTCCGTGGCTGTCTGATTTGACTAATGACTATTATATATTAGTGATTCGTCTAATATTAAAGTTATTAAAGACTAAAGACTATACCTAGTCACCAGTCTGCTTGCTGTAGTTCCTGTCCGACTCGCCCAGAGCCTTGCCTCGCGTCTCACAGCTCAGCTTCTGTGATGTCCAAGCAGCAGCCGGGGAAGGGGAAGCCTGGCCAAAGCGAGCCAAGCCTGAAAAAGGAGGCCTCGGGCCGGGAGCAGTCAGAGCCGAAGCTGAAGAGAAGCCGGAACCTGGAGAAGCAGAACTCGGACGAGCCGGGCCTCATGGCTGAGGCCTCGCGCCGGGTAGTGTCTGCGGATCATATCCAAACTGGTGCATTGCTCCATGTGCTCGCGCTTGAGAATTTCGAAGGATTCCAGAAGTTGGAGGGCAACAGCCCTTTGGTCCTCGGACAGCATGACCTTCAGGAAGAGTTGGTGTTGTCGTGGGCTTCGGCTTGTTCCGGTTCGGAGGGCATCTACTACGCGATGGAAGCCATCAATACAACGTTCACTCATTTAGGTGTGAAGGTGCAGCTGCAGCACACCTTCAGTTGCGAGAGCATCTTGATTTCATCCTAGAAGTCCTAGACTGGTCCACTGCGCACCTGTACTCAGTCCTTTTGCCAGTAGTCCGGTATGCCTTTTTAGATCCGAACTTTATGATACTAGATGTAATTCTCTTAAGTCATAAACCATAAGAAGCCTTCATTTCTAAAACCTTTGCCGCCTTCGCCTTCTTTATCTGATAAAGTTTATGCCACCCCAAAATCGGAGGTCAGGTTGTCCAATGAATATTCAGTTTAGTAAGTTTAGTTTAGTTTTATCCTTTCGTGCGTAGCAGATTGCCCATGGTGGCATATGGCATATGGCATATTGGCATAGGCATAAGGCATAAGGCATAAGGGCATAAGTTATAAGTCAAGGCATAAGGCGCATAGGGCATATGTATAAGTCCGTATAGGTTCAAGTATAAGTATAAGCCAGCTTTCCTACCCAGGTAAGCGATTGATAGCACTATTGCACTAGTCGCTATGACCTATGACCTATGTTTCTATGCTAGTCGCGTGACATACGTGCTCAGGTAATGTTGACAAGCAGCAGTGGATCAAGGCGCTTCTTGCTGTCGGCCCCCTGCGCGAGAGTTCCTCCTTCACTTGGCCTCCTCGGGTGGATGCCCTTGGGGCGGGTGGTGATCTCGATGAAGTTGTGGGTGGGAAATGCATTTTCCAGGACATCGCAGAGTTGGAGTGCGACGAGGCCAAGTGCTGTCGCCATGGTGGCGGGTGCATCGTTCCTTCAGTCGACCTCCTTGTCGTCGGGACCTCTTGCAAAGACCTCAGCAAGCTGAACCATACAGCTCCTGGTGCTGGTCACGATACCACAAAGCCGGTCCTCGAGCAGAGCTCCAGCCGGGGTGCTTCAGCACAAACCTTCCAAGGCCTTGTGGGCTACATTCGGAGTCACCGACCTCTCTTCGTTGTCTACGAAAACGTGGATGCCATCAGTGATCAGCTCAGCTCAACCGACGACTCGAACCTGAAGGTTTGCTTGAACGAGTTCGCAACACTAGGGTACCAGAGCCAGCCGATGATGACGGATGCGTCGGAATTCGGGCTTCCATGCCATCGTCGCAGAGTCTACATCCTTTTCATTGACTCACGTAGCCCGAGGCTTGATCTCCGCAGTCGGCCCCTGCAGGTTGTGATGAGCAAATTTCGCCACTTGCTTAGCAGTTGTGTTCGCACTTCACCATGCGCATCGGAAGTGCTTCTTCCGGCAGAGGATGGGGCTGTCAAGTATTTTTTCGATGAGCGGCAAGCAAGAACCAAAAAGAAGTCCACTCAGAACAACTGGGTGAATCAGCATATGAAGTATGCTGACGGCCTGGGCATTCGTTGGGGCATGCCTGCACGAAAAGAGTTGTCCCAGAATCCTTGGTACCTCACCCTTACCGAGCGTGAGGCCGACTGCCTCAAACTCTCAGAGATTGAGTCCCCGGCAGCAGGTTTCCGCAACCTGTCGCAAAGCATCGGACGTGCCAATAGCTCTACGTTGCAAGCAGATGGTCGGCATTTGGCTCCGACCATGTTGCCGGGGCAGTTGTTGTGGACCCATCTGGCTTCTGGGGGGGCGCGATTGATGAGTGGCTACGAGGCCCTTCTCATGCAAGGGTATCCAATCGCACCTTGCTTGAACAGGCTTCTCGAGGAAGGCTACCTTGCGAGCGCAGACGAGGCGACGTCGAAGAAGAAGAAGAAGACTGATTCGGAGGCGAAGCTCTCAACGGACCTGTTTCTCCAAGACCTAGCTGGAAATGGCATGGCCCTACCGGTGGTCATGGCTGTGGTTCAGTCATGCCTTGCCGCTGCGCACTGGCGTCCCGTCGGGTTGAAGACCAGCGCATCGTCTGTCGCGACGGCGATGGCCGCCATGACAATGCTGACACAAGGCCTAAGGCCGGGAGATGAGAGCGCGGACAAAGACGAAGCCTGCTGAACAAGGCCTGAGGCCGGGTGCTGCATTGGCAGCATTGCTGTTTGCAACCACTTGGTCTGCGCTTTCATAGGATTCAGGCCCAAATTCAGGCATTTTGCCGTTTTGATTGGGACTCGGTTGTGACAGCTCAAAGAGGTTGCAGCAGTTCATTCGATGAGCAGCGTGAGAAAAGTCAGCAGCATCGACGAGTGGTCATGGTCATAGTCAAGGAGTCAAGGGTTTCGGGTTTAGACGTAGGAGTTTAAGAAGTTAAGCCTCATCCTCATTATCATGTTACTGTTGGGCAGTGTTCCAGCGTGGAAGCATCGTCGAGATCATGGAGTCTTGGGGCCCGTAGTCGTCCTCGTCATCGCCATCGTTATCATCATTATCGCAGGCTCATAAGCACTCAACGTGCTCGTAGTCATTTTCTCGCCGTGCTGCCATCATAGACTCGAAGTGGCATCGTCGTTTTTCTTGCTGGTTCTTGCTCTCATCATGCAGTCCCAAGCAAACCGAAAGCCAGATAAACAAACTGCTTCAGTGACATCAAGACCGAAGGACTATGATGACGATGGTGATGATGACGCATGCAAGGCACCCTGCTTACGAATGCCCTACGAGTTGCATGGAGGTAATCGGAAACACAATCATCAGAAGGAGCTCTTTCAATCAACTGTTGAATCATGTAAAGAAGGTTACACACAGCGAAAACCATGTCTGAAACAATTGTCGCAATATTCAAACAATATTTCAAACAATTGTCGAAACATTTAAACAATATTTCAAACAATTGTCGAAACATTTAAAGAATGTTTCAAACAATTAAAACAATGTTTGTAACAATTGTCGTGGGCCCCAAACAATGTACGAGGTGCCAGTTTGGGGGGGTTTAGTACCGGGCTTTTAAAAACACCTAATTCTAAAGGAACACTGGAGGTTTTTTTAGCTTCTTAAAGTCCAGGACAGACAAATGCTGGATTTCCAGCATTGTGGCAGTGTTGACTGTAGTGTTGATTGTGGTGTTGATTGAGTGTTGACTGAGTCATCTTTCATGAATTTGCTCGTTTTGGACAAGACATGCAAATTGCTCTATATTCCAGCACTTTGGCAGTGTTGCGGTGCCGGTTTGCGGGGCCGTACGGCGCAGTTCGCGCTTCGACGAAAGGGGGATGCCACTTTGGCTACCAAGTCGTTAGTGTAACGCTTGTTGCTGGGTGTAGCGGCTGGGAGCAGTTCGCGCTTCGACCAAGACGGGGGAACACCACTCCTGTAGATCTTGGGTCGAAGTTACTCGGGTTAAAGCATTTGCCAAGGCTGGCAACTC